ATTTGACCAGAATCAAATAAAATGAAGTTTTAAAAGACCAAATATAAAGAAACACAAGTGCAGAATTTCTAAGACAGATTAAAAAAACAGTTGGCATGAAAATACCTGGGGATTCACACAGGGAGCTCAGAGGGAGCCAACCATGTGATGAGACTAAGGTCAAAAAAGCAAATGCCTGCATAGATTTTATTATTAGAAATAATGTGTCAGAGAGCCCTGCTCTACTCTTAGCTGGTCAAACCTTCCTTGAGTATTCTGAATGGTTCTGAATGTTAACTTGTGCAGGCTAGGAAAGTGTAGGGTATGACCTAGGTTGAGGGGAAAACACAAAGCCAAATCACAGGGGAAAACTGAAGGGACCTGGAATATCTACCCAGAGGTGGGGAAGACCTGACTGGGGGGTGGTCATGATTTCTGTCCTCAAGCAATAGACAAGTTTCCATGTGGACTGATCTGAGTGGCCCTCAGGATGTAACCAGGACCATGAGTGTCAACACTCGAGATTTCCCTTCGATACTGGGGAGAATTTTCTATTGATCATGATTGATCCCAAATGGAACGAGCCATCGTGAGAGATAATGAAGGTCCTTTATGAGGGACATCTAGCAGAGGGAAAACTGCAGAGGATGATAAAGGGACTGGAACAGAGACCTAGTGGACATCTATTGTTTTATTTCTCCCTTCTTTTATTTTTTTAAGAGAGGGAGACAGAGTGAAAGCAAAAGCAAACAGGGGTGGGGTGGGTGGGGCAGAGGAAGAGAGAATCTTAAGCAGAGCCCAGTGCAGGGCTCGAGCTCATGACACTGAGATCATGACCTGAGCCGAAAATCAAGAATCAGATGCTTAATTGAGCCACGCAGGAATCCCTTTCCCTTCTTGTAAGAAGACTCCATGGGTTGGGTGGAGTTGAATGTACACCCAGCTTCGGGGTGGGGATGTTTCCAGGCCCCGTCAGTCAGAGCACAGCATCTTGCTGGCCACCGGGGCAGCTCCAGGAGAGCAAGCGTGACCCATGCTGGGCAGTCAGAGCCCAGAAGGTCCATTCTGGGAGACAAGCTCTCTCAATTTCTATAGGACTTGAAGCAGGTGGGAATGTGCGCCCGGAGCTGCAGAGACCATGCGGTTGTCTCTCTCCACATGGAGCGAGGACATGGTTGTCTCCATGACCACATGGAGAGAGACTACAAGAGAGCCCTTCACCCCACGCCAAAAAAATATTAGAAAAGAGAGAAAATCAGAGCACAGTTGCAAAGAAATGAAGTGCTTTTGTGCCCCTGAAGCCCCAACGCCTGAGGCCAGACTTGGCTCTGGAGGTTAAATGCCTTTCTTCCTTCAAGCCAGCTGAGCCAGGTTTCTGTTGTTGGCCACCATAAGAGCCCTGACCACTAGGATGGTCTCTAAGGTCTCAGCCAGTTCCTTTTGCTATGACAGATCTTTATCTGACACTTAAAGCAACGGCCTCCCGCAAGCATTTGTCCACCCACCCACAGGAATGCTGGGATGGCTTACAGAATTTGAAGTGCTGCCTCTAGTCATCAGATGAGACTGCACTGTGAAAGGGGGACTGGAGCATCGTGCGGAGGTAAGTTAAGAAGTCAAAGAGCATCCTGAGTCTGAGAGAAGCCGGCAGGCAGAGTCACTGCCCCAGTCCCAAGCCCAGGAAGGACACCAGGCCTTGAAGCTACTCCCACCTCCTGCAGAGCATGAGTTGGTGGGAACACCCACCTGAGTGCTAGGACCCAGCTCAGGAATGGGGAGGTGGTCCAATTCTTTAAGATCAAGATTGAGCCGCCACTGAATGAGTACCTGCTGGATGCCAGGCCTGTGCTGGACACTTGGCCTACCTCGGCTCTTCCAAGCAGCCCCCTGAAGTGGGCAGTGTCACCGCCTCCATCTCCCAGATGTAAACGTGGAGGCTCAGAGGGCTCAGAGACTTGCCCAGGTTCACGAGTCAGTGAGGGGCAGTTCTGGAACAAACTCCCAAAACCCAGCCATACTGCCTCCTGCTGGTGGTGACCACAGGCCAAAAGTGGACAAGTCTGGGTTCTCTTGCAGGTTTGTGAGCTAGACCTCCTCATCTATAGAATGGGGTGACTGACGATCCCCCCCCCACAGTCTGACCAGGGGCTGGCCCCCTCATTGTACCAAGGTCTGTGGGATCTATTAGTACAGAAGGAGGGCAGCTTCAGTGCCGAGATTATCTATCACTGATGTGACACAAAGGGACGGCACTATGTTAAGTCAGCCAGCCAGGCCCATCCCCAGCTCTCTCCCAGCCCACAGGGGCCAGGTCGCTTCCTTTGTTCCCCTCCCAGCTGTGGCCTGGTAACGAGGCAGCCAGAAGCTCAGCTGTCGACTTTTTTCATTATTTTCTACCCTGTTAACCTCCATCACCAATGATGCTGCTGTCAGCCTAAATGAGAACTGAAAAGATTTATTTCACTTGTCCCTGGGCTCAGTCAGGAAAAAGACCCTTCATTTCCTAACGGCCCTGATGACCCTTTCTCTGCGAGTCACTCCACCCAGGAAAAAGATGTGACAGCAGCCGCAGGCAGGAGCTCAGGACCAGAGTGAGTGACCAGAATCACCTCAGCCTGGCTTTGCAAACCACCATGGTTTTTTTTATTGCCCTGTATTTACCTTTCTAATTATGTTTGCTTACACAAATATTCAACTTGGACGACGTTTCATAAACACAGCCCCGGGAGGGGACCAGCGCAAACTGTGCAGTGGGAGGGAACGAGCCTGTGATTATAGTTCCACTGCAGAAGTCATCCTCCAAGTGGACAATCCAAATATAGACCACAGACAGATTATTACATTTCAAATCAACTCGTCCTCTTCCCCGTGCTTCTAGCAATCCCAGGTCAACCAATCCCTAAAATTGGCGTCTGGCAAGAACAGACGACCTCGATAATTTTAGTAGTAGCAGTCTTACGGACTGGTTGGTACAATGGTAGCCAGCTTGCCCGAACACTCATTCTCCATGCCTTACTTTTTGGGGTTAACACCTTCTTAATCCTCCCCACTGCCCTGTGGGTCTTTTTATCCCCAACTCACAAATGAAGAAACTGAGACACAGAGTTAAAGTAACAATGCCCAGACACCCAGCTAATAAACGATGGAACCAGGATCATGAATCCAGAAATTTAAGAACTCTCGACCCAGAGACCACACCCTGAGCCACTCCCTCAATAACACCTCCCCCTCCTTCACACCAGTGAGGTTTCCTTCAACCCTCACACTGTCCCTAGGAAGTAGCTGATCTTAGCTCCTTCTGACCGACACAGAAGAGGAGGCTCACAGAGGCTAGAGGACGAGCCTATTTTGCAGAGAAGGAAACTGAAGTCCACAGAGGTGGGTTTGGTTCTACAAACATTTCCACAGCGTCTACTGTTTGCCAGGCATTGTGCAAGGAGCTTGGGACACAGACATCTCAGGGCACATACAAGTGACTGCTCCCTGCGCCCTGGCCTTATGGGCATTTATATGAGTAAAACCTCCTGAAAGCAACCATGCACTTTGTTAAAAACTTTAAAAATGAGCAAACTTTTGACCCAAAAAGTCCTGTTGCAGAAACGAACCATAAGATAATGGCAGTGAATGTGACAAAAGCAAACATACAAAGCAGCTCACCACAGTGTTATTTAGAAGAGTAAAATAATGGAAATAAGCTGACTGATCAACAATAAAAGATTGATTAAACAAATTACAGTAAGCTGTATCAGGAAATACTACAGAATCATTAAAAAATGACATAGAAATAAATTTACTGGCATGCAAAAATTTTGTGATGCAGTGTTAAATAATTTATCATATGACATAAACAAAGAGTAAAATCAATATGCAGTCTCATCTCATTCGGGAAATGTATTCTGGAAAACAAATACATATGAGAACTTAACAGAAAATGTATTTGCCTATGTTTGTATAAAGAAATCCCTATGGCAAGCTGGTGCAACCACTCTGGAAAACAACATGGAGATTCCTCAAAATGTTGAAAATAGAACTACCCTATGACCCAGCAATTGCACTACTGGGTATTTACCCTGAAGATACAAACGTAGTGATCCGAAGGGGCATGTGCACCTGAATGTTTATAGCAGCAATGTCTACAATAGCCAAACTATGGAAAGAACCTGGATGTCCATCAACAGATGAATGGATAAAGAAGATGTGGTATATATACACAATGGAATACTATGCAGCCATCAAAAGAAATGAAATCTTGCCATTTGCGACGACGTGGATGGAACTACAGGGTATCATGCTTAGCAAAATAAGTCAATCAGAGAAAGACAACTATCATATGATCTCCCTGATATGAGGAAGTAGAGATGCAACATGGGGGGTTAAGGGGGTAGGAGAAGAATAAATGAAACAAGATGGGATTGGAAGGGAGACAAACCATAAGTGACTCTTAATCTCACAAAACAAACTGAGGGTTGCTGGGGGGAGGGGGGTTGGGAGAAGGGGGGCGGGGTTATGGACATTGGGGATGGTATATGCTATGGTGAGTGCTGTGAAGTGTGTAAACCTGACGATTCACAGACCTGTACCTCTGGGGATAATAATATATTATATGTTTATAAACATTTTTTTAAAAAATTAAAAAAAAAAAAGAAAAAGAAATCCCTATGGCACCAAAGTGATGATTGCAGTGATAACATTCCTGGTGATTTTAATTTTTGTGTGTGCTCATGTCCATCTTTCCAAATTTCCTACAATGAACATGTGGTACTTGCCAACCATGCAGAAATTTTTATTTTTGTGCGGGTGATGGCTGAAGCTGAGGCCACCAGCCATATCTAGGATTCAGACTCAGACTCAGATTCAGATTCAGACTAGTCTGGGATACCACATCTAGCCCTTGGCCCTTGAACCCTACAACACACATGCCCTCCTGGTCCTATGCTCCCAAACCATATCTGGCTGGCAATTTTGTCATGGTCAGCCTGGGGCAGAGATATCTGAGCAGGTGGAGTGGCCCGCTTGCCCACCTTTTTGAAGAGTCTGATGACATCCTCGCTGATCTGTGAGAGGCGGACGATGACGTTGTTCATGAAGATGTCGTTGAGGGTGGCATGATCTCGACTCTCCCTCCTGGTCTGATGCAGGACCAGATACCAACAGTTCACAGGCGAGAGGAGGTACTGGTCCTTCCTGTGGAAACCAAGGCAGCTCAGGTTGGCTTCACTGGAACTGTCACCCACACAGTGTTCTGCATTGTCATCCACCATAGCTCCTTTGACCCTCATGACCCTTTCGAGCTCAGTTTCATTAGAACACATTCACGGCTGGTAAAGCAATCCCCCTCAAAGGTCCCAGAGCAGTGCTGGGGCCAAATCCAGTACTTTGGGCTCTAAGGCCTATCCCATTCTCCTCTCCCACCGCATGTGGCATTTGCTATGTGCGTCACTCCCTTCTGGGAAGAAGCTGCCTTCCCTGAGGCTAAGAAATACTCAACCAATTGTGATTGAAATACTTGTATTAGTTCTAAAATTATGCAGTGGAAAAACAAAAAGTTTTTCCTTCCCTGCCTCCCTGAACCCTTCTGTCCTCTCCCAGGGCCAGCTTTTGTCTCATGGCCTCTTGGAAACACATGTCTTTGTCTCTCCATGGAACTGGGGGCTCGGAGGGTTTCAGGTTCTATATTTAGGAGGATGTTAACTCATCTTCCCAAATGGGATGCTCAGGTAAAGTACATATAAGACAAATAACCTTTCCCCTGTAACAATTGAGAGATTCTTAGCATCCAGTAAGATGGGTGTTGTGCTAAAACAGGGGTTCTCAGAGTGTGGTCCTCAGACCAGCTGCTACATCACCGGGAATCTTGTTAGAAATGCAGATTCTCAACCCCCACTCCAGACCTGCTAATCACAAACTCTAGAGGTGGCAGTCTGGGTTCTAACACACCCTCTTAGAGATTCTGATTCATGCTAAAGTCTGAGAACCAGAGATCTACCTACCATACTTTCCCAAGGCTTGAGAAAAGGGATGTTTTTGAAAAATTAGCTGGGGTGTTATCCCTCTCTTGTCTATGCTTTCCCAAAGCCCCTCTGCCATCCACAGTAGAGGGTATATACATCCTATTCTCCAGGAAGAAAGAGGGAATTGTAATTAGAAACCAAAATCAAACCCATACTCTCACATTCCCACACGTGGTGGTTCTTGCCCCCTAAACCTGATTCCTCCCTCACTCTGCTTCCCGGGGTGGGAAGGAGATGGTTGATAGGCAGGATGTGGAGGAGAGGGCCTCCTGAGGGTGGTGGTCTCCAAAGTACCCCCCACAACCTGCATTGCTCCCCTCATGCCCTCAAGGTGGGCCACCTCCAAGGGCTGATCATGGATATGCTCAGCCACCCACTAGCAGCATTTTTGAGGGAGGGAATTCTGCTGACTCTCACTATGTCCACATCTTCCTCCCACAGCTGAAGGGATGTGCTAGGGGTACAGCCCTGACAGCCTCTGGGCACCTGTAGCACCCCCATACCCCACATCCCACCCCAACTCCGGAGCTTGGGTAGGACAGGTGAGGAGGGGCCTCCTAACTTACAGAAATTTTCTTGCTGTCACCAAATGAACTAAAATTCTATGTAGGTAGCAGGAACTGGGGAGAAGGGAATTTGGTTTAGAGGATGGTTATGGTGGAAAATGCCTAAAGAAAAGGGAAGGGACAGGCTGTGCCATAGAAACAATGAACGAACCGCTCCTTGCTTATAGCCTAGAGAAAAAGCTAGAACACTAAAATATAACCACCCTGCCCAAATCCCCCAGCATTTCCTCTGAAAGCTCTCAGGGGGCTGTGGGTGACAGTGACACAGATGTGCCTCGGAGGGGCTCCTTCCCAAGTGGCTGAGGCAGAAGAAAGGATTACAGTGGGAGGTGATAAAGTGCTATAATAGACACATGCAGAACGTCAGTTCTGCTTGAGAAGTTGGAGAAGCACCGCTCTCCTCCTGTGCTCTCCACATCCCAGGCACACAGGCCCCTTTCCTTTGTGCCAGGTTCCCTCCCGCTGGGGCCCTCACACATGCTATTCCCTCCATCTGGAATTCATGAGCCCCAGCCCTTCTCCTGATTGCCTCCTTCTCTTCCTTTCAGTCTCACCTTCAAAGACACCTCCTCAGCATGCCTGTGACCACACGCTAAGGCGTGGGTCCTCAAACTGTGTACCCAGACCAGTAACATTGGCATCAGTTGAGAACCTGCTGGAAATGCGAGTTCTTAGGGCCACCGCAGGCCATTTAATAAGAAATCCTAGGGCTAGGCCCAGCATCCATGTTCTCTCTAACCAGCCCTCTGGGAGTTCTAACACATTCAGAGAACATTTTCCTTAAGGAGTTTCCATCCCCACCCTTCATCCTCCTGTAAGTTCTTTCACAGGAGGGACTGTTCTGTTCCGGGCACACATCCAGCACCCAGCAACGTGCCTGACTCATAGTGGATACTATGGAAGAGAGACCCATGAGAAAAGTACATATTTGTGCTGGGTCTTGAAGAACGGGTAGGAGTTTTCCAAACAGAGGGGCGGAGAGAGATAGAATTGTAGACAGAGGGCAGCAGGCATAAAAGACAGATGATAGCTCATTAGAGCTAGACCTTCAAATATGTTAGGGGAAGACTAGAAAGACATGAAGCTGGAGAGACAGATTAAGGGCTTGATTATAGGGAGCAATGAATGCCAGGCTAATGAGCTTGGAACTTAGTCTCTAAGCCACATGGTTCTGCACTAGATTGCATACTAGAATCACCTGAGGAGCTAAGAAAACATCAAGACCCAGGTCCAATCCAAGAACAATTAAATCAAAATCTCTAGGTGTAGAGCCTTAGTATTAGCATTTTTTAAAACATTTTCTATAAGATTCTAATGTGCAACCAGGGCTAAGAATGCCTGCTATAGGCAGTGAGGAGTCATGGAAGTTACTTAAGCAAAGGTATGATCTAATCAATGTGTGTTTAGATCACTGAGTGCAGACTGCAGGATGGATGGATGGATGGATGGATGGATGGATAAATAGATGAGTAAGTGAATGGGATGGGTGGATAGGTGGGTGAGTGGAGGGATTAGTGGGTAGATGGATGGGTAGATGGGTGAGTGGATGGATGGATGGATGGATGGATGGATAAATAGATGAGTAAGTGGAGGGATGGGTGGATAGGTGGGTGAGTGGAGGGATTAGTGGGTGGGTGGATGGATGGAGGGATGGATGAGTAGATGGATAGATGGGTGGTTAGGTGAACGAGTAGATGGGTGGATAGATGAGTGGACTGATAGATGGATGAGTGGATGGGAGGATGGATGGGTGTAGGCATAGGCATGGAGCTAGAGGGAGGACCAGAAAGGAATTGTTTAGTCCAGGAGAAGAGAGATGTTGAGATTCTGGGTGGGTGGCAATATGGCCAGAGAAGGCTGGACTTGCGAGATACCTCAAGAGAAGAGCAGATAATCTTGGAGACCTCCCGGAAATAGAAAGGAAGGAAGAGGAGGGAGGAACGGATAGTGATTCCAAGCTTTGGATCTCAAGCAACGGGGTGGAAGCTGATAACACAGACTGAGATAAGAACTGCAAGGGAGAAGAAGGTTTGGGCAGAAAACATTTTGCACATCCCATTTTTCACTGCTTCCTAGGTGCTGATAGAAATGGAAAGATTAAAGGAGAGATGAGATAATTGAGCTGTTACTTAAATTACTTCAGGGGCTTAGCTCAGTCTGGGATGCAAGAATTGAACAGCATTGGGGAATTAAATCGGGGAAGGATCACTGGGGAATTAAATGTACAAAATTTATGGAAGTCACAGCCAGAAGGTGAATTTCAGGCAGAGGAGAAAGAAGACGAGTGATCTTGAAAGGGTACAGAAGTGCTAGGATGGCTTGGGGACCATTAAATTAGGTCACCTGGTCAGAGAGAGTCAATAAGAGAAAGACAGAAATGGGGGACAAAGCTACCAGAAAGCAACCAAGGACTCATCAAGCTGGAGTGAGCAGCTGCTGGAAAGATGAGGGCCTCAGTCCTCTCAGGCTTCACTCACTCACTGTGTGTGTGTGCACGTGTGTGCATGCAGCAGGGACCACAGCAGGCAAGACCCTGCTCCCACATGTCTTCCACTCACTGAAGTGAGGGGGACACACAGAAGATGATGATACAGCCTCCTGAACGGAGTGATGAGAAGCAGCTGTGGAGCAGAGCAGGGCCCCCTTGCCCACATTTGGTGGCAAGGTGGTGGATGGCTTCCCAGAGGAAGCACTTTCTAGACTGAGAAATAAAGGCTGCAAAGGAGTTTGAAAGGGCAGAGCTTTCTAGATGAAGAAATACGGTGAACAAAGGCCCAGAGGGATGCCAGAGAAAGTACGTGGGTGAACAGAACGTAGTCAAGGCGGGGGCTGGAGCATGGTATTCTGGGCTGGAGGTGGGAGTGACAAATAAGGTTGGAGAATTAGGAAGAAGCCACATAGCCAAGGGCCTTTAAAAGTCCCATTAGAGAGTTTGAGCTCTGTTCTTAAGTCAGTGGGGAACCATCAAAGAGTCTAGATCAGGGGAGTGACAGGGTAAAACTACATTTGCAGACTGCTCTGTGCAGAACAGGCTTAAAGGGGCCAAAAGGGAAGTTGAGGGATTTGAGAAATATCTATGTAGTGAACAGACTGGCCCTGGAGATTGAGAGGATGGGGTTTGGGATGGGTGTGATTCCATGATGAATCCCAAGTTTCCTGGGTTGGGCACCTGGAAGAACAGGGTGGCATCTGCGAAGCTGAGGGGAAGCAGGGCAGTGGTGAGGTAGGGAGGGAAGGAGAGGAGCTCTGTTTGAACGTGACAAGTCTAAAGGGCTTCAGGAACATCCAGATGGTGATATCTGGGCTAGAGAAACAAATGGGGAAACTAGCAGCAAGCACTCGGATGGTATTTGAAACCACGGAATGACATGGAACTCTTCACAAATGTGCAGGACCATGTGGCAGAAGAGGCAAATCCTTGGGAGTCCTGGCCAGGCTGCAGCTGGAGGGATGGGGCCGGGCTGGGCTCCTCCCCTCCCTTGTTGTCTAGGATGGGGACAATGGGCTAGCTCATCCTTCTCTGCAGAGATGCTGCCCGGGCCTGCCATTCAACCAGTGGGCCCATCCTCTTGGTCTATCCCAGCATGGGAGACTGCTTGTTCTACTC